CTTTAACGTCAATTTCCATCAAGGGACCCTAAGTGACTCTACAGACAGTCAGACAGAACAACAGAAAACAGAAGTGACAGACGGGCAGACCGGCAGACCCATAGAAATAATAATAAACACAAGACAGAATTCACCTTACCATGACTTTTGGTATGAATGCATTTTTAGACCAATTAGAATGGATGGACGCGTGCCTGCGTGGACCGATCGTACCTTTCCACACTAGGTTCTTCAGACAGGGTAGTAGTTTTAATCATCGCGGTGATGGGGGAACTAGCGAGAGACTCTCGCTAGTTCAGCGACACGCGAGACGTAAACGTCTTTAGTGAAGGAGCTAAACAATAATAAATATTATTGGTAGGTAAATAGATGATACCAACGAAAAAGATAACAGATTTGAAATTTTTTCACTCGTATGTCAAAAGATCTTACATGAATAATTGTAAACAGTAATAAAACCTGATATTCTCCGTTGACAGATATTGAGATACAGATATGTATTTATACATTTGGACGTAGTTTTCAATTCTAGTCGAAATTTTTTGATAACAATTTCCGAAAATAAAGGTACCTCAATACCTACCCATTTTACAATTGAGCTTACAGAGGTTAAGCTCTCTACTGTGCCCTGTGCCCTAATAGAGAGTACTTTCGAGTGATAGTGATAGCTCATTTAACGTGTATCTGACCATGATCTGACCACCACGGCGGATGCACGGCGGTCACTCATGTTCAATGCCTGCGAGGCGTAACAGTTTTAAAAATGTTTTCACATGTAATTTTTCAAAAAATATACCTCTCAAGAGAACGGTTTATTCAGACGAGTAAGGTTAGTTTGTTTGAAAAAAGTCGTCTCCTTTTTCATGCAGAATTGCAGAAACGATATTTTCCATCCTCATATTTCACGGCGGTCTTCTATATAAAAATAGCTAACCGCCGGCGGTTGTGTAGACAGAGCCTAAACATTAACCATAAATAGCCTTGATTAACCATAACACTGTGCCATAACAATCATAACATAAAACATAACCACACATTATTTAACAAGGACAAGGCCGATCCAATCTTGTTGTAGGACTTGTAGGACTCCTAGATTACTCCTAGGCTCGGCCCCGCCGGTCAGCCAGGCCAGACTATTCGAATATCCCATCAAACCCAAACAGCATTCCTGTCACACTTCCTGCTATCAGTTATCAACTATGGGGCTATTCTTCCAAGTTCCTAAATTTCAAAGGCATGATGGAATTTTGAAATAATACAAGGGGTAAGATATCTTTATTTGCCGCGTTTTTTATCAAAACCACAAAAAAAGACTTTAGACTATCATTTGTTGAAGTAAATATTGTTGGTTCTTACTGTTCTTACGTATTTACGTCTGTAAAATGAATTCCACAATGAAAATGTGAACAACGGTTTGTTCACATTTTCATTGTGAAATTCGTGTTTTTCAGACGAAAATACATGAGTACACTTTTACCCTATTATTTTTTTGGATTTCTGATGCTGTTACAAAATTAGGGTAACTAGACCATGTACACTTTTTTATAGTGCAAGGTGGTACAAGTATTTTTTCCCAGGCTGCTGTCCTCCAATTCTATCTTTTTTCATTTGGGAGGTAAATGTTCTCTATTTTGAAAGCCCTTTTAGATGGTTTATAGTCATTTGATGTAAGGATTATAAACAATATGAACAAACTGAAAAAAGATCAGCAGGAAGGACAAAGGACCCTGCACCATTTATTTTGAAATCTAAGCTATGTGAACTTGCCTGCCAGGCGCCCAGGCGGCAACCAGCTGCTAAATTTTCTGGCAGCTACGATTTCCGATGATACCCGAGAGTCCAGTGGCGCCCGATCTCATATTAAAAAGTACTCTGGGCTGAATCTTGCATACTCTGATAAAGTGGAAGGAGTCACCCCTTCATACTTCATAGCATTCACAACGAGTAAACAACGAGATTCACAATTATAAACATGACTTGAATAGATTCTTGGGAATGGGGACGAGATGCCCACCCCTAAAACTAATATATTTCAAAAAATCATTTCAAGTTATTCCCATTCCACTGTCAGGATGACATTATCAATCATTATTTTCAGGAATAGTTCCTTGGGAATGCGGATGAGATGCTTATCGACCAACAAAACTAATATTATTTCAAAAACTTATTTCAACTTGTTTGTATTTGACTTTTTAGATGACATATTGGAAGAGCAATTTTGTGTTATAGCCATATCAATGATAATTTTCATGAATAGTTTCTTGGGAATGGGGATGAGATGCCCATTCACCCCTAAAACTGAAACTATTTCAAAAATTAATATCAAGCTTTTTGCATTCGACTGTCAGGATGAAATATCGAAGAAACAATACTTTATGGCATTATCAATCATAATTTTCATGAATATTATCTTGGAAATGCGGATGATATGCCCATTCACCCCTAAAACTGAAATTATTTCAAAAATTCATGTCAACTTTTTCGCATTCGACTGTCAGCTCATCCACCCCCAAAACTGATATTATTTCAAAAAATCATATCAACTTTTTTGCATTGGATTGTCAAGACTCTTCTGGATCATATACATTTTTATGGCCATTCAAAGATGTATATCAATGAATTCGACAAACAACAAATTTTTTAATTAGGCAAGATTCAGCATCTGGCTGCCATCAACCAGAGTACTTTTTAATATGAGATCGGGCGCCACTGGACTCTCGGGTATCATCGGAAATCGTAGCTAACAGAAAATTTAGCAGCTGGCTGCTGGCTGCCGCCTGACACAAATATCAAACTGATATTTCAATTCACATAAAAACTTCCACTCTCTGACAAAAAACTACTGAATATGATCCGTCACATTCTTATATAAAAAATACTAAAGACAATTTCATGATAAGACTAAGAGCCTAAAATTTTCAGTAAAATGAATATGAAAATTCACTCAAGTACTTTATGAAACGATTATTGCACGGCTTTTCATAAAAAGAATCAATTTGTAATTAGCCAGTTGAAATGTACTCCCTATAAATAATCAACCAGTTGTTCTGAACGGTTTTGAAACTTATCACCGTAGTTTGACGAAATTTCTCATAATCTACCTAGTATACAGGGCGGTCCGGTTTGGAATACAAAAAATTCAACAGTGTGTTGTACTCGTTGAAATAAGAAAAGAAGTACATATTAACATATACTTTTAATCGATCGTTTTCGAGACATATAGTGTTGAAAATAGCAATCTGAATATTGTTTTTTGATGAAAAGTTCGACACGATTTGAGATAAATCAACAACATTTCTCACATATTAATCTTTTTACGCCCTATATGATAAAGTTTTTCAGTGGCAGCTGAATCTGGGGGTATAGTGAAGGTAAATTAATGTTTCATTGTGTTTGTCCAGTTATTATTATTTATTTGCTTAGATTTCTCATATTATTAATCCGGTTCAATTCGAAAACGTTGTAACGCATTGAAATAACAGGACAGAAATCTATCTGTTTTCAGACGTTGTATTCGAAAATGAAAAATTTAATGCACATTGGGGTGATTTTTTCCTTCACCACCCCCAGATTCAGCCGCCACTGAATGACTTCATGAAATAATTTTTATTTCATCTTATAGGGCGTAGAAACTTTGATATCCATGAGAAATTTTGTTGATTTGTCTCAAACCCTTTCGAACTTTTCATCAAAAAATCAATATTCAGATTTGTATTTTCAACACCCTATATCTCGAAAACGACGAGTTCAAAAGTATATATGTTTATATACACTTTTTTTATATTTTCAATGAGTACAACACATTGTTGAATTTTATGTATACAAACCGGACCACCCTGTATATTTGAATTTGTATTGGGGAGTACTATTCAAATATGTAACTTTGAATAGGGAAGTTCAGGTATACTTCATTATCACCCTGTTGAGATATCATATAAGTATAAGCATTGTCGTTCTAGATGACAACCTAGTAGGTTTATAGTTAGTAGGCAAAAGCTATAATACCTCCTCGCGTACTAGGTCGCCTACTAGGTTTTCATTTAGATCGATAATGAACAAAGTATCATATTTCGAATCCTTTTCGAACCAGCATAACCAAATATACAGGGTGGGTGATCATATTTCAAGTCTTACTCAACTACACCTTTTTCAATTGTAATTCAGAAAGTATAAGATGTAATTCAGAAAATATAAGTTGTAATTCAGAATAGTTAATCGTAATTCAGAAAGTATAACTTGAAATTCAGATTAGTTAATTGTAATTCAGTAAGCGTTATATGTAATTCAGATTAGTGAAATGTAATTCAGAAAGTGTAACTTGTAATTCAGAATAGTGAAGTGTAATCCAGAAACCGTCAATTGTAATTCAGAAAGCATAACTTGTAATTCAGAAAGTATCACTATGTTTCTGAAACTAGGAACAACCCGTATGCATCCATTCTCCTTGAAAACAACGACTTGTTCATCTTGAACAGAATATTGACCAGGCCCAAAGATACAATAATTGTATCACCATCACCTTGTGCTAGGGCTGCACAACACACCACCATTCACCACGCTGCAGCTCTGGCATTTCAAGATATGCCCGTTGGTCGATAAATTTAAAATATTGATGTTCACCACACACCATTCTTTGATTTGTATTCCCTACGCTTATTTAAGTCCATAGTATTTATGAATAACAAGCGATGCTTTCTGAATTACAAATTACGCTTTATGAATTACAATTGACTATTCTGAATTACAAGTTACACTTTCTGAATTACATTTCACTAATCTGAATTTCATGTTATGCATTCTAAATTACAATTGACTAATCTGAATTACAATTGACGCTTTCTGAATTACAATTAACTAATCTGAATTACAAGTTACACTTTCTGAATTACAATTGAAAAAGGTGTAGTTGATTATTTATAGACGAGGAAAAATTCACGTAAACATTTTAATTATGATCAAACTTCTGCTTTAACAAATACAACCCATTTGAAACTGAAAGATAGGTATCAATTTGTTACTCAAGTTGATATTATTGCCTGTGATTTTGATAATGGTAATCAATTTAACATACTAGCGAGATTTCATAGCTGAGGAATGTATCTTATACATACAACATACCTATACTTCTTATTATTGTTTATTGAAATTTGCATGTCTCTCAATATAGACCCATATAGATATTCAAGACTATTACTACTAAATGCTAATTCTTATATAAGCTATAAGTTCAGCTAATACACTTAGCGTCAAATTAAAAGTTCTTCAATCATCAGCATCACACGAGTCGAAAAGTCCCTTTTTTCTCATTCTTTGGAACTCTTTCTCTATGTCGTAGGTTCTGAAAATATAAAAAAAATTATGTGCAATTCAAACTCGCATCACCCTCCTAATTTAGAACCCGTTGACCGATTTTCGCAAAAAAATATAATATAATCTCTGCTAAAAAATGTGGCCAAATCTGAAATATTGAAATTTTCAATGCCTACTATTGTTTGATGAATTGGTCTAAATTTCAAACACGACTAATAGCCATTTTTTTCCGAGTAGGCTCACTTATACTCGATTCAGGCATACTTGAAATACCATCATACAACATCTTCACGCAATAATAAATTATGTTAGTTATTCAATGGCAAATTTTAATATTTTTGCTTGTTCAATTCACCCTGTATCAAAATCTGAGGAGTTGATATAAGCGGCGAAGGAGTCCTTCGATGGAGGAACACATCGAATAGTCAGATACGAAGTTTCATCCTTGTAACTTCTACAATCCATATATTTTTTTAAATCAGTAACTAATTCGATGAAAATGTTCATAAATTCATCTCAAAATTTCATTCCATTTCGCCAAAATCGGTATATTAATACAGGGCGTATCTAAATAACACCGAAAAAATTCAAGGGGTAATTCCTTGTGATAATTTAGAAAATAAAATTCATATGAACAAAATGAACATGTGTCCTAACTTGCTTCGTTTTCGAGATACAGGGTATTAATATCTCCATGAAAGATCGTCTTTTTATTCATTACTCAATTGTCTTTTCATCAATTTCAATAAAACGTTGTGGTTTTGTTGATAGTAATATGGAACTTCTTCTGGTGCAATTAGATTCGAAATAATATTTCCAGTGGCGTCACAGTGGGTAAATTCATCGATATTTATGGTGAATGTCATTGTACTATTCAAGTAACAACTTCTTTATTCCTTGTGTGATTTTTGCATCTAGCTTAGTTTTTGAGGAAACAATAAAAAATCGTTTTTGGATGTATGATAAATTGATATTCATCATACAGGACGTGGAAAAAAATTCTGGATTGAGAAAACCTAATCACGAACCTGAAGTTTCCATCGTTCCAGTTTGAACCCCTTGATTGGGTGAAAGTATTGAAAAGGAATATTTTCGAAACGAAACGGCTGATTTATTTTCAGTTTGCAAGACTGCTTGATGAAGAAGTCTAAACTACGCATCTTTTGACTAAATTTGATCAATTTTCTATGTCTTTCCGTTTAGGAAATAGGAAGACTGTCCCTATGAAATCGCGGGATCCTGATGTATATAATTTTTAAAATGATCGAACAACTTGCAATGTTACCATTGCCGCTATATAAATTGGGTATTGCTCAGAGGAAAAGATATTTTTACATTCGATTCATACAAATAATATGGGCAAATGAAGATGCCCAGGGCCTCTGCCAATTTCTACAAGCACTCTCACTAGTAATTTCTAAAGAATATCCCGAAAGATAGTATACAGGGTGTCCGGAAATTATGCGCAAAAAATCAAGGTGGTGATTCTGCATGAGAAAACATGAAATTTATTTCATTTAAATTTGGGTCCGGAAAAGCATTGTTTTTTGAAGATACAGTGTGTTGAACTTTTTAGAAAAAATCGGTTTTCTATGAATATCTCAATTATCCTTCCACCGATTCTTTTGAAATTTGGCAATGATATTCTTTGTTATGAGGGGCTGATTTAGCCATAATTGAATTGGAATTGTGAAATCCAGTGGCGTCCCGGGGGCACCCTACCGAATATTATTGTCTATAAAATGTGTGCCACTGATTTTTTAAAATTCTGTATCTCCATATCCTAATGATTAACTAAAAAATACAACATTTCGGTCTCTTGAATTGTTTTGCTATTTTGCTGCGTTTCCGTGAAAAAAAAATGCCAATTTATGGTATATATTTGTGCAACACATTGCTTCAAAAACAGGGGTGAAATTAAATGTGTGATCCATTTCCATAGACGTAGAATAAGAATGAAGATTCAGTTTCTTCAAATATTTTATAGTACATGTTTGACACACTTTGTATTATCGAAAACTACGCCTTACTGGACCGAGAATACATAGTTCTCAATATACAGAGTGTAGAGTGTGTCAAACATGTATCAAGAAATATCTGAAGCAAATGAATCTTCATACTTATTCTATATGTCTATGGACATTGATTACGCATTTATTTTTACCCCAGTTTTTGAAGGAATTTTTTGGCACAAATTTATGCAATAAATTGGTATTTTTTTTCATGGAAATGAAGCAAATAATCGAGACAATTCAAGAAACCAAAATGTTGTATTTTTAGTTGGTCAATAGGTTATGAAGATACAGTATTCAAAAAAATCAGTGGCGCACATTTTATTGACAATAATATTCGGTAGGTTGCCTCCCGGGACGCAACTGGATTTCATAATTCCTCATCACAAAAAATATCCTTTCCAAATTTCAAGAAAATCGGTGGGAGGACATTTGAGACATTCATGAAAAACCGATCTTTTTTAAACTATTGAAAACTATGTATATAGAATCACCCCCTTGATTTTTTGTGCATAATTTCCGGACACCGTGTATACAGTGTGTCCACCTTAAGGACTCACCACCCCTGTAAAATCGTTATTATATCCGACCAATTTCAAAAAACCTTTTTTTGTTGGATAGGTATTTGAAATGCCCATCCAACAAGAGAGTGATCTAATTCTTGGATTGTTATCGTGGCCAACTGCGACAAATTTCAAAGACCCATATTCCAGAAAGTACTATTAGGGATTTTTTTCTACGAAACTTGATGATGGATTCTGAATCAGTACCACTTGAAATATACCTGTACCGATATTCATCATCATAAAACACAGGGTGTCCGAAAAAACGAATCATCATTTTCTTCAAATAGGTGATCAGCAAATGTAGTTCTGTGGTTTTTCTAGAGAGAAATAATCACAAATTATCATTGAGGATTATTTCAAATATACCTGTACCAATTTTCGTCATTTGAATATACAATGTGTCTGAGAAAAAAATTAAAAAGGATAGGTAAGCAATATTTTTCATCCTGATAATTCTTCACTCAAAATAAAAAGATGAATCAGGATCACTTGGAACATACCTGTACCGATTTTCATCATCATTAAACACAGGGTGTTCGAAAAACAAATTAATAGTTTTTTTGAGTTGATGAAAAAATATTGCCTACTTTTTCTTTTTAATTATTTTTTCATACACATCGTATTTTTGAATGATGAAAATCGGTACAGATGTTCAAAGTGATCCTCAATAATAATGTGTCATCAATTCTTCTCAAAAATACCACAATACTACATTTTCTGATCGCACCTATTAAAAAAAAACAATCCGTTTTTTCGGACACCCTGTGTTTTATGATGATAAAAATCAGTGAAGGTGTTTTTCAAGTGATTGTGATTCAGAATCCATCATTGTTTTTTGTGAAAAAAAAATCCCTAATAGTACTTTCTCAAATATGGGTCAATAAAGTTGGTCGCAGTTGGCCACGATTACAGTTCATGAGTAAAATCACTCTCTTGTTGGATGGACATTTCGAATACCTATTCAACAAAAAAAATTTTTTTGAAATCGGTCAGATAATAACAATTTTACAGGGGTGGTAAGTCCTTAAGGTGGACACACTGTAGAGTCAGCTAATCTTTATTTATTTCTTTTTCTGTTCTACTGAGGGTGGCAACTCAGTTGCTGATATACGTATTCAGGCTTTTCGGAATATTAATGTGGTATTTTTGGGTATATTTTGTATTCGATTAATTAACCATGGAAGGTCCTCAAAATTTCACTTGATTATTTTATTAGCAAAATTATAAAGGGATCGAGTAATGTGATCTGTGACTTTGATCATGATTGTTTCGTATACTCACCGATAAAATTCAGCATAGGCTCGTTTTTGTCCATCCCCGTATACGAATCTCATGTAGCTACCAGCGATTGCAACGCCAATACCGCATATTAACAAATTCCTCTTGATTTGTCGGTGCAAAAGACTGCGCATTTGCGGCTTAGGAATTTTTCCTACCAATTCAGACATCCTGAAATTGAACAATGACCAGATAAAATATGACACCCCCGTTATGTTCGTAACAAGAAAAAATGGCTTAGACCTCTCAGTTTTAATTTTGAGGATGACTTTAACAATTACATCATCCATGTGTTAACCTCTACTTCGGAATCATCAGGGACGCTCGAGGGGACGCTATACCACACTTGTGATCATTCAGAAGAAGATTCAATCATGAATACAACGATTTAATTCAGTCGATGATTCTTTTCTGTTTTGTTGAACTCATGAGCAAGAATTATTATCGAAATTTGTACTCAACCCACATTCTCCTATGGCCAGCTAGATATCCTGATTTATCACCCTTGGACTTTTTCTCGTGTGGTCAATAGGCCTTTTCATATAGATATATTTTTAAGACGCATGCGCTCGTTTTTAGATCCAAAATTTGATTGGGTAATGCGGAGGTGAAGTCTCATTGGCTATAGTTCCGACACAAAATTCTGATTGGCCATTTCGAAAATGGCGCTTTTATTGAGGTTCTGTCAAATGTCAACAGTGTCAACCACCATGGGCATTCGTCATTGAGAAACAATAATAATATAATATAGTATTTTCGTTTCTATATTCCTGGTGAGTATTAATTGTATTATATTAAGTTAAATCGAAAAACCATTACTTATTCGTTACTGAGGAGTGTGGTGCAAGTGTTTCGGTGAAAATGGCCGCCACTGTCGTTGGATGCGAGATGTAAACACAGATAGTCATTTGTCATCTTAATGAAAAGGCCTATTCCAAAATTTTCATTTTTCAAAGGAAAATGGTATTCGGTAATTATTCGGTCATATTTCAATACTCTATGCAAACAGTAAATTACATAACAAGTCCGGAAAATACTGTTTATTTGAACGAGTAGACAAAATTCTAGGCCGAGCCGTAGGCGAGTCCTGGAAGTCTGCGAGTGAGTACAATTTCTTCTATATTAATTCTCATTTGTATCAAACACTGAAATTTGAACAGAATACCTATACCTACTAACTGCTACATTGGAAATTTCGTATGGACATCAAACTCACTATTAATCGCTGCTGCTTCCGATAGTTGATTGCGATAATTGCAAGCAAACTTTCAAAAATCCGCTGTCAGCCGATATTTCGCTGCTATGGTAATCATCATCTGCATTTATCAAAACCTTATCTAGAAAGATTTTCATAGTTACAGTGACAACACCGATGTGATACTTCCCGGCCTAGGCCGGGAAGTAAGTTAAGTACTTCCCGGACGGTTGCCGAAAAAAATTTGATTTCCCACTCCACCTGGGATCATGATGTTACCTCATGGTACAATAATTTCAACGTCACGTGCACTAAACATCCACTTTTCCAACACATTCTGCCCAAAAATGATTATTGGATGCTACATTCTGATTTTTTTTCGTAATATTGTCCATTATCTGTCTATCACTTGAAAATTGAATGTTCATAACCAATAAATTATTGTTAAAAAAAAAAACCATACATTTTTCGTGATGTTGCTTAATCTTTGAATTGAAAGAGATACCTATAGCAAGTTGGTGGCCAGGTAGCCGTGCGGACAGAGTGTCTATATTCTAATTCGCATTCGCTCGCCGGTCGTGGGTTCGATCCCCGTCGACTGCAGAAATTTTTCTGATGGCCCAAGAAAGTGTTTGGGATCACACGTTAAAAGGTAAGGCCCCCGTCATTCCTTGCTCGCACAAGACTTTCGAAGACTTTTGAGGGTTGCTCGTAAGGGGGCAACCGAATGACGGATAGAACAAAATTTTAGAACAAAATTTTAGAACAAAATTTTAGAACAAATTTTTTAGCTGTATGTCCGATGAAACATCCTGTTTATCTAAATTATGAGTGGTGATTTTTCTGTAGGTACCGAAAAATGGGGTTATTTGGGACCTCGGGGTAATTCGAATAGGATCGATGGGGTGAAAAGGGTCGAAAGTTCATTCGAAATTAAAAAAATATGATGAAACTACAAACATGAGCTATTCATCTCGGATTTCAACTAAACTTTGCTAATAGACATCGAAGATCATTTCTGCATGATTAACCTTCCTGAAATCCGGCAACACCGGATATGACAGTTCCTAACCTACAAGACCAAATTTGGCGCCTAAATCATGGTCTCAAAACAAAGTTGACAGGTTGTGAAGTTCCCAAATCGAAAAAAAGGTGAGTAATGATATAGAAGTTATCGATATCAAGTACTATAAGCAATTTTATCAACAGAACAAAAAAATAGTAAGTTGTTTTTTTTCACAGCCCTGGCAATAAAAAAAAACACCTGTTGTCGAAATAGGTGGGGTGAAAAGGATCAGAAAAGCTGTGTCCGAGTACAGAATACCATATACATATATACCATATACCATACCATATATATAATTTCCTGAGACAGAAGAAAACTAAAAATGCCTGTGGGTACATTTATCAGTTTCCTGCCATCAGAGAATTGACAGAATTCTCGTTCGACCAGGTGGTGGGAAAATTGGAAGAACCGGAAAAGTACTTGAGAGGGTACCTGAAGTTTGCAGTAAATTTTAAAACTTTTGTATTCTTTATTCTTGTCTACTTAGTCTTTATTACCTAATGAGAATTATTTTATTTTATTTTATAACTTTATGTTTTAACTTTTGCCAAAGAATTCAAGTTCCTTTATTGTTGAATATATAAATTTACGCTTGTACTGAGTGATAAATAAATGTTTTGTATTTTTTTAAAAGACAATTTGCGGTTCTATTCACCCTACCACCCTGCCAAATCGAATCTAACGCATAAATAAATCAGTGATCCTATTCTCCACGCCCGTGAGGTGAATAGGATCAGACAACAAAAAAATATATATATGAAACATGGTTCACCCTATAAAATATTCAATTCCAAAACCATTCAGTACTTCCACTAACTCATATTTTCACGTTTAAAGAAAAAAAATATCTTCATATTCAACGGAGATATGAACACTCGAAATTGAAAACTGATCCTATTCACCACGTTTTACGGTACCTCAATTTGATATTTTGGTTAGTTGAAGAGCAACCTATTGATGATTAATTTAACACATTTTTCATGAATGAATGATATTTCAAAAAGTATAAAAAAAATTTAAGTGGAGGTGAGAAGCGAAGCAAAAATAAGAGGTAGTCAAAAGGTAAACAGGTCTGTATTTTTTAGTTAGTTTTGTATGTTTTATAAATACTGCCAATGTCGTTGGACGCTATTAGCATTTTTTTACATCTTCGAATAATTTTCAGAAAAAAGTAATGATTTTGGTAACTTGGGACACCCATTTTTTCAGTTCTTTTTGGTCTTTACGATAAAAAACTTTGAAACATGTTACATGTACTCACCATTTTTCTTCTTTTAAGTATTTTTGCATTTTTGTTATAAATAAATACATATTTTTTCAGATTCGTTTACCCTCTAAATAATTCTCTCAGCAAAAAATGTCATTTCAGTATGTGTGCTGGCGTATTATTTTTATTTTTTTGCTGTCCCAAGTAAACTGTGAGTAGATTAACATGCAATTTCAGTGTAAAACCGGTACAGTCCCATTTAATCCCAACCCCGGGGTAACTTGGGACAGTAAATATTTTTTGTTTCAAATGTTCTTACATTAGGAGCCATTTATGGTGTTTTATAGGTTAAATGCATATGAAAGATATTTTTTCGCCTTATATAATGATAATGAATCATATCAATCCTAAATATGTGATCGAAAGTAATGTATATCTTGTGCCCCTAAAGGAAATCTTGATAAATTACCACATTATTGAATTAAAGTGCATTCGTCTCAAGAAACCCCACTTTACGGTAATCCAATTTCATTTTTTTTTACAAAAAAGTAGGTATGTCGCAAAATTATTTCAATATTTTTTATTATACAGGGTGTTTCATAATTGAATGCTGATCCTTGAGGGCGATAATCCTTGGATGATTTCAAAGAGAAAAGTTCATATCAACATATGTCCTAAACCTCTTAGTTATTGAGCTACAGGGTGATGAAATTTCAAGAAAAAAATGAGTTTTTCATCATAATTTTTCAATATTGTTATGATATTTTGTTTACACCTTTTCATTATTAACGAGCATTTTTTCACGTGAAAGATATTTGAAAATTCTCACCAGTGGCGTCCGTACGGGGTTTGAACTGACAATTTTTGAAGAAAAAAATTGTACGCCACTGATTTTTCTGAGAACCAGATTTTTTTCTCAATTCTTATTCATTCTGGAGCAAATTCGGTTCCTAGACTACCTTTCATACAACGTACCGTTTTCGCGTAAAAAAATAAAAACCAAAGAATTTTGTTCGTTCAGTTCTTGGATATTGTTTTTGGTAATTCAGTAGACACCCACTATAAGTGAAAACACATTTTGTTTTGGGACAAAAATCAAACTTTTACTTTAACCAGTGATGTCCTCGTAGACCTGATATTGAATGTTTGGTTTAAAAAAACGCTGTACGCTTCTGATTTCAACACCCTGTAGCTCAAAAACTAAGAGGTTCAGGACATATGTTGATATGAACTTCTCTCCTTAAAATCATCCAAGGATCATCGCCCCTTAGGATCAGCATTCAATTATGAAACACCCTGTATACAATAAATTATAGATGACGAATATTATTGTTCAATAGTAACTATATGGCATGAAATAAATACTGAAAGGATACCTACCCTATGGTGTATTCCTATTACCTATTACTATTAGGGACATACAGATTGAAATTATGTAACTACGATCACTTATTACATATAATTTCCCACTGCTTTCAACACTTTCAATTTTATCAACCTTATGTTTAGTGCACTTACTTTTTTCCTGAATCAACTGAAAAATAAGCACGATCTAATATCCTTTTAGGTAGGAGTGCCCACAAAATCCCAATTTTTTTCGACGTGAACTAGTAGACTCACTTTATCTTCAACGGCCGATTCCTTATTCGTTGTGAAATAGATAATCTAAATACCTGAGGCTGGATCGAATATTTGCTGATAAGTGTGATATCGATTTTACAAATAAAACCGAGATAAGCTGTTCGACCAACAATCCTAGGATATGCTTTGACCAAGTTTAGCTGTTGGATTCGGATTTTCCGTTTTCAATCTCACTTCTGTTATTCCGTGGCTTTACAGAGATGAACTGGAAACTTTTTCGTTGATGGGGAAAAGTTCGTCGGAGTCTTCCATTTGTCTAATTCGTATTCTCTCTTCGTTGTAAACACATACAATTTACGATAAGTATCTGCTAGGTGAACGAATGGGTTAGGAACATGCAACTTTGGGCCTTTTTGATAATAGAAAATATTCAAATTTTAATACCATTGGATGTGGATGGGGTGTAGAATACGTAAATGAATTGGATTTCATTCTCACGTGTAAAAGTACTAGCCATTTTTTAATTATAATATTATAATCTGTGATACTACAGTCTGGAACAATGGTAGGTAGAAATCCATGCTTTTTCAAAATAGAGTGGGTAGGGTATACATCAGGGTTAGTTCTCGCATCAAGTGTAACCACCCTCGTGGTTGTTAATTATGTTGTTCATAATGACCTAATCAAAAAGCCTATTAGGTGGTCTATGACTTGAATTTAAAGTATGCATTTTTGATAAGGAGCTGATTTTTTTTTCTTTTCATGATAACCTCAATGTTTTGGAAATGTTTTCATGAAAACAAAGAATTTTTGAGTTTCAATCACTTTTCAAAAATGCACGTTTTCGAAAAACACCTTATTGTAACTCTGAATCGATGATAGATATCGCGTGATGCGGTTTTTTTCATTAAGTTTATGATAAAAATTGACTCTCTGGCACTGGAATCAGTTGTCATCCAGCTAATTTGAAAATTGGACTTTCAGAACTTTCCAATTTGGACAACACTTGAAAAAAAAACAGCTTTTCTGATTTTTATTTGACATATGAAAGTTCATTGAAACTTGAGTTTTTTGTTTTTTTTCCCAGAAACTCACGACTAATACAATAAAAATTTACTACTTTACTGTTGAGTACATAACAAAATAAAGAATGGGAATTAGGTACTTCAAGATTTGTCGTTTTTATTTTAATTAATGGTTTTCTGGTTTTCGTTTTTTTCATTGATCCATTAGTAGTGGTTTTATAAATCCTAATATTCACAGATACAAATTGCTGGTACCTAGAATTTTGATACAGTGGCGTTCTGGTGGGGGAACTCACTTTTGGCTTTTGTTTATGAAAAGTGTATTTAAAATATTGATAATATCAAATAGCCTCATGTTGAAACGTTGAACAATAACTTCAAAATTATGTAGCAATAAGTAGGTACATAAAAGCTAATTCATTATCGCACAAACAAACATTTATTGAAATCGCGATTGATTATATAGATATATTAAAAATATAACTAGCATGGTTGGTACCTACCGGATCTGGTGAAATTGGAACCGCAAGTAGTCAGAAAACCAAGAAAAACAGAAGAAGAGAAGTACGATGGTTTGGAAGTTACCAATAGAATCACATTGAAAAAGTGGCCACCCTGTATGATTTTTCTTTATTTATGAATAAATAGCTGCAAATCAGTATGACATATACAATTTTCCAATGAGGCTCTATTCTCCTCCTGATTATATATAGCTTTTGGTTAGTGTTGAAACATCAGTTGGTAATTATATGTATAATATGACTTTGGGAAGTAGGTTTTCAATTGAGTCGGTATAGGATCGGTATAGTTATAGATTGTGGTATAGATGAAAATGCTGATTTCGATCCTGTATTAGCAAAATATTTGATTTATGCACATTTGCTTGCATTTTGTCAGAGTTAAAAATAAAACTGTTTATGATGCTCATTTCATTACAGTCTTCGGTAAATAGCAACTGGTGAAGCTAATTTGTCATATATCCATTTAGGTGTATATCAAAAATGTATACAGAGAAGTGCACAAAAAAGGACCAAGACTGTAACTTTTGAATTATTCGAGATAGGGTTTTGATAATTGGTGGGCAGCTAGTATATACCAAATTGCTCATTAATTGATGAAACAATTTTTATTCTATCACTTCAGGTATTACTGGAAACGACCCCAACTTTTGATTTTGGTATTTCATAATCAGTTAGCGAATGTCATAATGAATTCATCGATACCGTGTTTGATAGGGTTATTTCAAACGATTACGCAGATATTCGCGTTCTAAGTTTCCATATGCTCAATGAGTGTGACAGAGAAAGAATGATAATGTGAAGTTAAACCCAGCATTGAGCATATGGAAACTTCGAACGCAAATATCTTTGTAATTGTTTGAAATAACCCTATCAAATCCGTTATCGTTGAATTCGTCATGATAATCCCCTAACCGATTATGGAATACAATAATGAAAATCGAAAGTTGGGGTCGTTTCCGGTGAAACTGGAAGTGATAAAAGAAAAAGTGTTTCATCAGTTAATAGGCAATTTGGTATACTTGCTAACCACCAATTTTCAAAACCTTATCTCGAATAATTCAAAAGTAATAGTCCTGGCCGTTTTTGTGCACTTCTCTGGATAAAAAATAAGTTTGTGTGATGCACACACAGATTATCAAATCCATTGATTTACCAATAAATAAACGAATAAAAAGTAGATAGCCCTCAGTTAAATCAACTAATTAAAATTCACCAAAGAAAAGCATTTCGCTCTCCCTTGTCCTCGGGGACACTTTGGAAAAAAATCAACTTAGGTAAATACACGGAAAAAATTATCCTTCTCTCTATAGACTACTTCACACGTGCTTTTTGAATGCCAAGTCATCTTTATTTTAGCATAAATCAACTTATCTCATGAAAATAGACAAGAAAACAGATTTTTATTTTTTCTCAAGTCCCTCTGAGCTGGAGATTATTCCACCCATCAAAAAATCATTGCCTCTCATCAAGATGCCCTCAATTGTATCAAGAGAAGTACGTATGTCGCTATAGATGCAATAGCCTATAATGAAAAATTGCGTTAGTATTGGGTTCCAACGTGGTACTTTTCCTTACCATTTGTATCATCGTCAAGTCTATCGAGAATAAACCACAAACTGTGAACTGCAAATTTCTGTTCATTTCATGCAAAGCAAATATTCGTAGCTGCAAAAAAGGAAAAGAAATGTTAATGTTATGAATAGGTCCATTTGTTTCAACTTTGAGGCATTTCAAGAATTTTGTAGGTGTTGTAAACATGACTCGTAAAAATGAGTCATCCATCTCCTATACATTATAGGGATTCCCTTTCGTGCGCTCCAAGCGATTAAAAAAAATACAGGGTGCCTGTTTTTCGAGCTCCACCATGAGGATCTCATTTTTAGTTTTTGAATTATTGGAAGGAAACGAAAATTTATAATTTTCGTTTTCATTTTTTCAAGCGAAAACAAAAACACCTAGACATTTCTGAATAGGAAATTCTAGAGGCACTTTTTCACAAGGAATCTGAATGTGTAATCATATTTTCCATGACGTTCTTGATGCCAAAGTTACAACTCTCAACTTTGTTTTTTCTCATGAGCCAGATTGGATTTTTGCATTTTTGAAAAGTCTTTTTTTTCTGATTACAATGATGTATCACACGATGTGATCGAATCTTTCCTGTTGATCAAAATTGGGAAAATCCATTTTTGCGAAGAGTGCTTGGACCGGGAGACATTACATGAATATTGGATATGTTCGATTTGTTATTGTTCAAGTGGAGTTTGGTGATATTTAATTGAAATATGTTTTATGGATTCATGAATTGTGGCGACCAAAATCATTATCATTTTGATCTTCAATCGAATACATTTCACATTTAATTCTGAATTAATATCAGACATGTATAGAAACACCCTCATGATTATTATTTGTTGATCGTTAATTGTTAATTCCTGATTGTTAATTTCATTGAATCTATAAACCCAGCAATATTGTACAATTTTGATTGTTGATTGAGTCCACGTTGAAAGGATTGGACGAAATATGTTTTCATTTTTTTAATAGTGAAAATTGGCAGTTGGCAGTTTTTTCAAAGGTAAAAGGAAATATAATTTTCAATTTGAAGGCATTTGACCCTGAATAATGAAAACAATTCATCTGCGGCGCTTTCCATTTTTTATAATACTTAATACTAAACTATGTATTTTTTTTTTATTTTCAAAATATGGTCACCCTAGTATTCACGTACTTTTTTTGTGTTTTGTAGCGAACTTGATATGCCGATATTGACCTATAATGAATCGATTTTCGCTTCCTTTATGAGTATTAAATAAAATTCAAAATAAGAGAATTTTTTTTATACCGCACTAGGGGGAAAAATTTTGAATTATTCAACTATTTTTTTCATTTTGTCCGGAAGATATTGGTTCGCTTAGATTTTCGGTTTTGAATTTTTATATTTGGTGAACCAATGAATCGAAATTAGGTCAACAAGTGTATATCGGCAGTATATGAATATTCCTTATTGACACATTCGTCGAGGCTATACTGAAAATATCTGAAAATATACTACAGAGAGCTAATCTTATTTCTTTCTTAGTTTAACTGAGGATGGCAAGTTAGTACCGAAATACATAATTAGGCTCTTCTAAATTTGATTATACAAGGTGTTTCTGAAATAAGTGCACATATTCAGCACATTAATATGATACAGTCTAAGGAATATTCCCATGATATCAGATTTTCTCTAATTCATCTAATTAACGAGAAATTTCAGTCCAAAAATTGAACAAAACACGAGAAAAAATTCAAGTACGCCACAATTTAAATGATTGAACTCCGCGTGATATTGTGCCTACCGCATGGAAATTTGAACAGTGTAGAATTTTGGATGGAAAAAGGGATCTGACCTCAAATTTTATTTTGAGCTCTAAATTTTTTTATTAGTGCCATTCGCTAGTAAACATCGAGCTCTCTCAGTGTTTTGAAATATTTGCACTTATTTCAATGCCACCCTGTATATTCAACGATTCAAATTAATAAAGCTGTTTCGCAATTTTTCGATGGTCAATTTTTGAGAAATGACATAATTTGAAAAGTTCTTCTATTGAAATAAATGCCTCGTTATCTATATATAGGTATCCGTTGATGATTCGCTGACTAAATTCAAGTTATTAGAATAGTTCATTATTCCAGATATTTTGGCATTTTCTCTCCTCATCTCTATAAAATAAAAAATAAAAATATGAATACTATTTCAATATACGTGTAGTTAGGGCGAATCAGATGATTTGACCCAAAATCTCACTGCGTTTAAGGAATTTTCCTATCATAAAGCCTAAAAGGAAAATTCACTAGCTTTGCAGTGGCAATTTGTATTGATAAAGGTTTGGAGAAGAAGAAATGAAGGTATATAGAAAAAATATCAAATTTTTACGAACCTTTGGACGTTTCGGGAACGAATCTGCTCCCGTTTTATGGATTTTTTGTATTGCCAATCCGTATTATTAATTAATCTTGAATTTATCATTTTCATTTTCAGATTTCAGTAGTGAATACCATGTTCTATCTATATAACTACACGTATATTGAAAAAGTTTTCATATTTTCATTTTTTATTTTTTAGAGACGAGGAGAGAAAATCCCAAAAAATCTGGAATAATGAACGTACCGAACCTCCTCGATTTACCTACATACAGTATTAGAATAGTTACTATTTTTTTTTCTAAAGGAAATGAATTTCGTAATATCCAAGAATGCCATTACCCGGTACAGATTTTATTTTGAATTTTGTATTTAATTCAAAAATCAATATTTACCTACCGTTGCTCTCAGTGGTTGACCTCTGGCTTTGCGGAGTATTTTGTGAATTATTTTTTTTATTCCAGAAACCTAAAAGAAGAGATAATAAGTATAGAGATTGAAATAGTTATTTTTCTACGACTATAACACAAGATTGCTCTTGTTTTATTGTGTTCGATACATCAATGAGGTACTTTGTATGTAATCAATTTTATTTCCGTATATGATATCACAATGACACCATTGCGTTATTATTGAAAAAAAAATCATCGCCCATGGAATGTCAAATTTCAAGCAATGACAGCTCTGTCGATACATCAATGTGGTACTTTGTATGACATCAATTATATTTCCGTATCTGATATCTCAAATAAGATTTTTCGATATCTCTTCTTGGGAAAATCACGTGAGATCAATTGCGAAAAGTGCATCCCAAAAACTTGGTTTTCTGTTTCGTGCTAGGAGCTATTTCACTTCCAGTCAGCTGCTTATGATCTATAAGGCACAGATCCGACCTGTCCTGGAATACTGTTCCCATATTTGGAGTGCAGCACCCAAACATACCCTGAAACTGTTGGATTCTGTCCAAAAGAGGGCAATTCGTCTCGTGGGTGATGCCTCGCTCACAAACTCACTCACTTCTCTGGAACACCGTAGAAAAGTTGGCGATCTGGCTCCATTTTGTAGATATTTTCATGAACGATGCTCTTCTGAAATATCAACAATTGTACCTCCCTTGGCAGTCCCCGCGAGATTAACCCGTCGAGTTGAGGTTTCGCACCCCTTCGTGGTCACTTTGGAGACTTGCAGAACATCTCTTTCCAAAGACTCGTTTATCCAACGAACAGCGAGGCTCTGGAACACATTGCCAAGGGAGGTGTTCCCCGAGGCATATAACCTCCAGAAATTCAAGAAGAACACCAATTCCTACCTCATTTCCCTTGGTTCTCACGATGTTCTTTGGACATTACAAGATATCCCTTTTCGTGAGAACCAGAACATAAAAAAAAATATCGATAATTAGTATGTACCTTTAATTTTGAAATTTTGAGAATTTATCAGTAACCGACCAAATTTAATATTGTGAGAAAGATCAATTGATATTCTTAACTTGAACACCCTTCAATTTCGAATATGCAACAAATTTGGATACACGTTCATATAAACTTACAGTTCTAAAATTAGCCAAGAAGAAATTTTTATGATGATGACATTAAAGGTACCTGTTGTAATATGGAATGGTATAAATAGGCCATCATCGTCAAACAGAACATCCTCCAAACGATCCAATGGAAAAGTGTCAATAATTTCAGACCTGCTATCAAGTTGAGTTCATTTTTCAGGAGTAATGCGGCGTACATTGTCCCTACTCCGGCTGTTAGCGCTTTCACGAAGAACATCAAAGTTTGGACACCAAAAATGTTATTGATATCCATACATGTGGAGCACAGCTCATTATGAATAGAATGAATATTTTCGACTATATTCTGGAGGAGTGTTTCATCTGAAAAGATAATGGAAATAAGAAGTGAAATGATAAAAATTAAATTTAAAACGTGAAACATGCACTACTGAAGCTTCAAAAGGAAGAAGGAAAGCTCAAAGTCATGTCCACTATCGAAAAGGAACATTCTCAGATATATTTATGAACACAAAAAAATGGACCACCGATACTAACAAGGCCTGCAGGCTCCGTCGTGACGTCACCTTAGTGAGGCCTAACAGCGGCTCAATTTCAGTTTTAGATCATTATTGAGCCGATTATGCTGTTTTTTTTTAAGTTAAAAGAGGATGCCAGTCGTCAACTGAGCCTTCTTCGCATCCCATTCGACTTTATTATAGAAAAACGAAGTTTCAAAGCAAAAATCAGAATAAAACACAAATACCCACCTACAGCAACCCATTCGAATTGAATATATTGGCAAAAATTGAAGTGATTCAATCTCATTAGAGGAGAACTTCACATCTACCTATACAGGGCCCGCAGAACATAAACTTATCGTGAGATTGATCGAAAGGAAATTGGGGAAAATGTATTTTATTTTGATAGACATGCCGTGCGATGCTATCGACGCTCAATCTCAAGTTGACACGATATATACAGATTTCTCAAAGGCCTTCGACAAGATGGATCACACAATACTAATTTTAAAGCTGAGAAATTTGGGATTTGATGAGGATTTGTTGAACTTTTTCAGCTCGTATCTCACAGGTCGCTCACTATAATTATGTTGAATACAGAGGTCACAAGTCGCAATCATTTCTAGCCAGTAGTGGAGCACCACAGGGGAGTAATTTAGCTCCATTGCTGTTTTCTCTGTATATAAACGATATTACGCAAAATATTTCAAGTAGGATTCTTCTCTTTGCTGATGATCTGAAGTTATTTCGTCCCATTAATTCGATAAATGACTGTCAAACACTTCAAAATGACATTGACAAGGTAGCCACTTGGTGCACTGCGAATAACTTACCACTAAACATCAAAAAGTGTCACTCAGCGACCTACACATCTAAAATAAACCTGATAGAATTTGTGTACAACATCGACGGTAAAAACCTTGAAAAACATGATCTAACTAAAGATCTCGGTATTTATTTTGATTCTAAACTGCAGTTCCTATCACATATCACCAAAGCCATATCATCAGCAAAAAGAATGCTAGGCATGATATTCAGAAATTGTAAAGATTTTGAGAGTTAAGACAGTTTTATAAATCTATTCAACACTTATGTGCGATCTCGCTTAGAGTATGGCTCACTGATTTGGTCCCCTATTTATTCAACTTACAAGCAAAGCCTTGAATCAGTACAAAGATTATTCATGAAATATATGATATACAAAATCGATGGGTCATATCCAGAACAGGGTGTTGATAACTCTGTATTACTGAACCGATTTTCACTTATCTCGTTGGAAGACCGAAGAAATTATTACTCGTGTCTATTTATTTATAAGCTCACTCATTATTTTGTTGATTGTCCAGATCTTTTGTCTCAGCTCAATATTCTTGTACCTCGTATGAACAACAGAAACAACGCCAAGAACAAATATCCTAGCAAAATCCCCTATTTATATGATGTGTAAGAATCTTAATGATGTCTGCGACAAAATCGATCTCTATTCAACTAAAATTGGCTGTTTTAAAAGTAACTTAAGAAACCTCTACCACTAACTAAATACTCAAGGTAATAATAATTGATGTATTATCCTATATCTATTTACTTATATCTATTATGAACTGTGTTTATTCTGTATTTGCATGTCCTGTAATTGGGTGCCTCACCTGTTTGGACAATAAACGGTTTTTTTTTTATTATGAACATTCAAGAATATTTCCTCGAATTCAGAGATGATTTTGTTGAATATAACATACGAATACAAAAACTAACTGCACAATCAAAGCTTGCGGATAGAGTAATTCTCGTCTACTCATACTTTTTATGAGAGAGTAATTGTCTTCTATTAATAATTCATCATTATAAATTGAGTTCTGTTAACAAAATTCGCACTGAATTTTTCTTAGTGTAATATAGCAACAATAACCTGCTAAATAGGTTATTACCGGCATGTCATCACTATATTTATCTATATCAGATTCCTCGACTATGATATCTGGATTGAAAGAATGATTTTCTTGGATTTCTTCGGTGAAATCATGGACGTATAAAAATCAATATATATATTTTCGTGGAAGCGCCTGATTTGTATATTAGCGTAAGTATGAGATTTTAGCATGAGCAGTGATTGAATTCTGAGCCTTTTTTCCGATTCATACAATTGTCGAATAGATATGTGATAGTCCACCTGAAAGTTGACGATATTTCCCGGACCTATGTTCCAAATCATCTGTTTGAAATTATCCTAGTAAAACATAATTCATCTTGAGTTCGTTAAAACAATATTGTATAACTTCTGTCATTCCATATATAGTGTGAATGAGAGCAGTATGTGTTTGGTTTGTTAGTTGAATTTGCAGATTTCCAAGTTTCTCGGGCAACTGAAAAGAATCTAATACAACTAGAAATTCTTGAAATTCTGTGTAGCAAAATGATTTTTGGTGATTTTCGAAGTCAGTTTTACTTTTGGTAAGTGCATTTGCCAAATTTTTAGTCTCTAGTATCTCAAGTTTTTCATGTACTGTACTTAGATGGAGTAAAATCCTCGCGGTGAATTGCATATACCCACTTTTTCGATAGTTCCTTGTCCAACGGGAAAATGAAAGCTTGAACTTTTGGACCACCCACATAATTCCCTCGACAAAAGGGAACACCACATTTGAAAGGCATTGTTATTTCGCCTATCACAACACAAAATATTTCACAGAACAGTGAATTTTTCGCCAATTATTTTGATGAATGAAGAATTCGGGCACGCGACCGCTTCTCGAACATACCTAAACAAACTGACGACTGTTGTCTCGACGGTAACGAACGTGTGCGTTGTGTGGCCTCAGTTAGCTGACGTCACGAGCTGTTCAAAGCCTACGAGCCTTCAGGCCTTGTTATTTAACACGTTTTTGGCTTTTGGCCCAATCAATTTTCATTCTCAAGGGTACGGGACCCTTCTTTTCTCCTGTTTGCAACCTAATATGGTTTCTATGAGCATAATTGAGTGCTCGTCAAGTTTTCTCTTCTGGGACTTGACATTGGGTTTTATAAGTGCGCGTTCTTAGGGCACGAGGCCCTTCAGTTTTAATGAAAACCCGTTCGTTCTCAACCTCTTTTCATCAATATAACCACGATATTTTGATGATAGACATCGGCATCTAATTCAAAATACTGTTTCACCTTCATAAACTTCTAATGAAATTGAGATTAAAACAATTTTAATCTCCTCCTGAAGATGCTTACATAGTTAGCAAAACACGTGTCGAGGTGTAAAAAATCGGTTTGGTTAGTGTTAAAACACTGTGTAGTGAATTATTGTAAGTAAAGGAAGTTGAAATTTGATTAATAATTGGAAATTGAACTTATATGACACCCATTGAGATTACTCGATAACTCCAATAATTATCATTCGCTTCGCTAACTTCATAATTCAAAATTGTCAAAATGTTATAAGTGGAACTTAAATCTCTTCAAGAGCGAATAACGGAAAACCGTTAGAGCTATACAATATGAAAAAGAATACATTTTTTATGTAGAATTATTGGACGGGCTTTCAGATTTTTCACTAAGTTCAAGATTTCATGTTCATGCTGTCAAAACTTAAGAAGTTATTGAGAAATTATAAAATAAAATCTCCCCCTAGAACACCTTGTATCTCCTAAACCAGCAACAATCTCATCAGGCATGTTCGACCAAATCTCAATATTTTTGTGTGTACTCTCTACAGTTCAGAGATTTCCCCGTCTTAATGTATCAAATCAAAAGTAATTTTGCCTGATGCATATTGACAGACTATTTTTTACATTCACTATATGGTTTTCCATCAAGTAACGGCCAAGTAAATATGAAATTCCAATTTGTTTGTATTCAAATATGAAAACTTCACTCACCAGCAAGAAGTGCCTTTCCCTTTACGTCCAGATTGTGAAAATACTTGCACAACATCTGTAGTCTGGTGAGAGAAACAGTCAAGATTATACAGACTTGTATTTTGAAAGTATGCGAACAAATCTCCTTCCAACATATCATCAAAGCATAAAGAACATTTTCTTCACGCCACACCAAACATCTCCCCAAAATATGGAGGAGCAAATTCGAGAGGAAGGAAACAATTGCCACAATTGTCAAAGTACGCACAGATTTGGAATCGAACGGTCCAATCAGCTTTTCCAGATTCTCATCAATCACCTGCATTTTCGACATCACTTTTGCTATCTTCTTCGTTCTCAAACAAATGCAGAGTATTATCAGATTCATGTACATCAACTCAAAATAACGGAACAATGCTGTATATTCCAAAAGGGCACTTGCTTTACCCAAAACATCGGGGTTGGCATGAAAGTATGTGGATACGCCCAATGTGATACCCACTGAATAGCAAATTGCCAGTAAATCTGTTGTGTACATTTTTTCATCATTGTTGTATTTATATGGGCTCTGACAAAATATTTTGGTAAAAATGTACAATGGTCTCAATGATTCTTTTAATTTCATATTTCAGTGTTCAGTTCAATAATGTAGTGGAATAATGATGCGTTGAATGAAATTATATCTACAGGTATGTACATACCTATTCAATATTTCATGCTATCCATTTATAATATTAGGTGGATGAAACATGGATGAAACAATCGAATCTACACGGTGGTGCAGAATTGTCTTACGATATTGCTAGGGCTGAGGATACTTCCAAAAACAAAGATACTATTCTCTATCAACTTATTTCTGAAAATGAATATTAGGGGAAATTTGAAGACGGATACAAACAAAAAGCAAATCTGGTCGCATATCTATGAAGTTATCTTGATAATTAATCAATTGAGTTATCTCATATTTAGTACGACACTACGACCTATTAGACTTTGTTAAACTGATAATTATTGCCCCCTCCTTCAGAGGGTAACTATATCTCCCTTAAAAAAATAGTAACCTTGTTTTTGGATGTACAATCAGCTTCAGAAATATCTGGATATAATTTTGGACCACTCTGTATAGACGGCAAATACGAGTACCTTTTAGTTAATAGGTAAACAAAACTCCATTGCTGTCATGTTGTGTACATACCTAATTCCCAATTCCATTACAGGTTCTATACCTTAAAAAAGAGTCATTACAAAATAATTCATTGCCATTCACATTGCCACGTGAATTTTCCTTGGTCTGTTGGTCATGATCTTACATGTTCGCCACCTATATGGGGCTCAAGTACCCCCTTTGCATTAGCAAATTTGAAATGTCAAACTTAAAAATCAATATGTTCTAACACTTTATTCAACATATCATGTAGCATTTTGAGTGCAATTCTTTCTTCTCCATAATTTTCACACTTTTCGCTGAAGATGAGCCTGTGTGGGCTCGAAACATGTACGATGATCTAATTTCATAATTTGATAACTATCAAAATTGTGAAGACAACTTTTTTGTTTTGATCCTTAACAAACCACTTTGAGATACTATGGACTTCTACCACAGAATAATTCATTATTTCTGCTACTTAAAACAAAGAATTTTCTTTCCACCACTAGCTTTAGAACCTACCATTATTTACTCATTTTCAATTTGTTAAGTGAGTTTTTACTACCAACGTTGTTTTCGTCATTTCATGAACTAGTCGTCAATAAAGACAGCTGAAATGCTTATATATAACTAGACATAGCCACCTCCGTTCCCGTATCCACTGTTCTAATGCAAGATTCGCAAGAATAGCACTCGAATCTATAGTGGGTTTTCATCAATAACGGCTTGTCATAGTCTTGGCGACTAGATTTCAATTAGAATTGAAGAGAAGAGCTTTCACAGTGACAGTAGGTCCATTTTTCAGTTTCACAGAACCATAATGATTGAAATACATCCCTAGTGATGGAAAAAATTTAATATACACCTTTTTAGAAAATAATATTATTATCACGGGCTTCGAAAGCCTAGAGAAGCCACTGTGGTGTATTTCATTTTTATTCAGATATCTTTTTTTGGATTCAGCCTTATTATTTGGATTGAAAAATTTTCTCATAATTTAGCTATTTTTATCTGAATTCCGACATTTTTCTTTGAATCCAAACTTTTCTTTGAATTCATACATCTTTCTCTAGGTTTCGTTCTTGCTTTCAATTGGGCATCTTAATCATTAACATTGATCTTCATATAATACACACTCTCCGGAATATAAAACCGCGGCCACAAAAAAAATTACCCTGTTATTGTATACATTTTTGTCCGATTTTGGTGGAACTTCGACAAAATCGTAGATTCATGTTTCAGGATGTTAGCTTGAGTTTTAGTTTCCAAGATAACCTGATGACTCGATCATTATACAGGGAAAAACAAAAATTACTCTTCCACTCTCCACTGCCCTGTGGCAGGTGGCGAGTGGTTAACTCAGCTTCATTATGTTTTGGGTTAAAGTATGATCTCATCTCAACAAAATGGATTCGATTCACGGCAAAATTTTCAAAAGAAGATTCAAGGGTTTTGACAGAAGAATGAATTTTTCCCACCACTAGCTATATAGAACCTACCATTATTTAGTCCTTTTGAAGGCGCAAAGTGTGTTTTCACTACCAAGGTAGTTTTCGTCATTTTATGAATCACTCATAGCCTTCTCTGTGATAATTAACCCGAATCCACTGTTCTGATGCAATATTCACAGGAATGGCACTCGAATCTAGTAGGTATTTATCAACAACAACTTGTGATATGCTGTCATGGTGACTAGATTTTAATTGGAATTGAAAAGAAGTGCTTTCATAGTGACATAGGTGCACATTTCAGTTTCACAGGACTATATGATGTTTGAAATATATTGCTAGTGGTAAAAAAAATTAATAAACACCTTGGTAGTAAAGAATATTATTTTATACCCCTCGGCTGTCCTTGGCAACATAATTTTGAGGCCAGAGGACGTAAAAGAGATTCAGCTGAGGAAGCTGCTGAACTTCTCCAAGGCAGTCGGCATACCCAGCTGAATGCCGTAACATGTGGGCGCACAATGGGCCCGAATAAGGAGGCCCACGTGCAGGGGGTTCACCCGCCTACCAGTGCTTCGAAGAAGAAGAAGAAGAAGAAGAAGACCCCTCGGCTGCAGCCTCGGGATATAATCTTGGTCCCTGGGTAATACGGTAACGGTGATACTGATATACTTTACTACCTTTGTGTATAGATAACTTATATCTGCTCAAGACTTTCCATAACTTGAGGTTTTCTATCCATTCAAATGTTCTACATCATATTTTTTTCGATTAGTCTCGATAAAACAGGCCACAGGCTTTAGGTCTATCCGGCAAAATTTTGGGCTTTTTCACTTTGACATTGACCTCATCACGTATTGGTAACGCCAACTGGTGAGACTGAAAATGTTAGCACCAATTGTTTCATTTATTTCTCTCCTTCAAACTGTGTCCAGTATTTTCAAATTTCTCTGGATATCCATTTTACTTCGGCCACAGTCTAACATTGTCAACATTAGTATTCTTGTTTCAGATATTCACGGCCTCCACCAATTCTATCATGGATTTGGATCTAGATGATCTCGATTTCGACACTGACAAGGTGAAAGGTTTTCTGAAACATAAACTGGAGGAGATACAAGCAAATAATGCTCGGCTCGAACGTACCATAGCTGAAAGAAAACGTCACTTGCAGACAATATCGAATAATAAGGAAGATGACATGGATGAGTCTTCAGTGGGCATAACATTTACTTGGACCAAAATATTCAATGGCAGATATGCATTTGGATTCACCTTGCAAAATGATAGTGGCAAGTAAGTATGCAAGTTGTTCTGCAGGTTGATGGAAATATCACCGACATAACCTTTACTTTCATAGGTCGCGTGCAAGAACTGTCAGATGACCAAACCTGGAGGAACAACATTGAAAGACAACCTCACTTTCCTCATTTGTTCACAAGTGATTGAAATAGTTTTTCACTATTATTTTGTCATACGAATCGTATTTTTCGGCTATTCATTAATTCGCTCATGCCCTCACATTGTGCTGTTGTACAATGCACAAAAACTGCAGCAGAAGACGAAGGAATCCTGTTGGTACATTATGATTTAAAAGTAAGTACCTACTATAGTCACTCACATATAGTTTTCATTTTTGAAATTTCATAATAGAAATACACGAAACATTTTTAAAATAATGCAAGAAGATTGGATTCATGCAATCAAACGGGAGGACTGGTCTGACATGCTGACGAAATATGATCGTGTGTGTTGTAGACATTTTCAATATATTAATTATAGCAGTATTAGCTTGTATTGCAGAAGTGGCAGAAGGAATTTTAATAAGGAATGACAACATTTCATAATGATAACTATGTGAGATTACTATTTACCTGAAAAATCATATTCCTTCGTCTCTCGCTGCATTTTTTGTGCATTGTACAACAGCACAATGAGAAGGCATGCTTGAATTGATAAATAGCGCGAAAAACACTATTCGTATGCCAAAATATTCTGAAAAACTATTTCAATCCTTTGATGCCTCTGTAAACAAATAAAAAAAGTGAGGTTGTGTTACAATGTTTCACAGAAAAGTGAGGTTGTCTTTCAATATTTTACCTCCAGGGTACACAGATCGAACTAGACACTATGGCAACGTTCAGCGACAGGTCTTCTGACCACAGTAGTCCGACCATAACAAGCATATAGGTTCTGAACGAGCATCGGTCCATGCGTGGAGAACAGTCACTGTTGATGCATTTTAATTTCCGTGTTTGTGCGTTGTTTCATTAGATGAATTTTACTCCACTCCTATGAGTTACAGTATAGGACAGATACTTCACCTTTATCCATTTTCGTTTCAGTAAGTCGATAGGAAGAGAATGGAACCGAGCACTAAAGCTCGGTGTCGGAATAAACAAAACCTATCAGTCAGAAGTATTAAAACATGAGTGCTCACAATACTATTGATCATAATACTGTCAGGAATCAGTGAGATCCAATTGCTTAGTACCTTAGAAACACCACCAATATTCGAAATAAATTGGAAATAATTCGTATCAATAATGGGAAACTCATCACCGGTCGCTGGTTTATGGTCTGGTTCCCTCTT